TCAGTTTACATGAAATGAGAAGAACATGCAGATCATTGATGTCATGAAATTCCTCCAGACTGTTTTTATTGCCCACATCCCCCCAGGCCTCTTCCAAGACCTAAATTGAGCATGGTCCTCCAAGGTGCCTTGAGAAAGGATAATGCAGTCTGCCAAACTCCAACAGTTACAAACCCCTGGCATACATAAAATGTCAGTGCTCCCTATTACTATTCCAATGCTCCACATCCACATGTCGGGATGGGCCAAGTGAGCGAGGCATTGAATCCACTCCATGTTGTAATCTGAACTTTACCACAGCATGAACCCCATTCCTCAAAATGGGGAAATCTCATTTAAAGCTCAGGCTAAAACGCTGAGCTGACATTGATGTAGAAGCCACCAGTATATCCACCTCTCCCACTCCACATCCATTGGAACACTCACTACCATAATAGTAGTAATGTTAGATGTCTTCTCCTGCCTCCTGTCAATTTCTTGCCACTTTAAAAAAAACAGATGGAGGCTCATGAGTAAGGACAGTCTAAAGAAACCTCCAATGAAAGTCACACATATCTGATCTGTGAAATATTGATAGTCAGTCAGCACACATCATGGAACAGTCTCTGTTTTGGTGGCAGAATGAGCTAACATGAGGTGATGTAGAATTCAAACAGAAAAGAGACCATTTTCAGTGTTTGTGTGACTGCATCTTCATTTATGGTGTGGAAAATCCCCATTATAGAGGACACATCAGGATTGACTTTGTGCCACCTTATGTAAGATCTAGAATGCTAGACACACCAAAGTCATTGTCTCATTATTCCTAAAAATAGAGCAGAAGATGGGAAAGGGAACTATTGTGGGCGGGAAAGAAGGCACTCTGCAAAAGTAAGTAGGAGGTGATTGGTTTTTTGAACTCACAAAAAAAAATGTGACCCCAAAGCTGTTGAGCTAGGGCTTCCTCCTCTATGTTAATAATATCCCTCAGTAAATGAAATGAAAAGTGGGTGGAAGATGTCTGACAGGCAGCCAGTGTCATTATTCAAGAAAGAATTAACCCTTAGACGCTGGCTAAACCCAGTCATATTAAAGATGGTGGAGTAAAACCTCTACCGTTTGCAACTAGAGTTGAACCCTGACTTGTAGGTCTTCGAAGACAAGTAAGGTTCAGATAAGCTAGAAAGGAAGCTGCAGCAGATATCTTCCAATGCAACAAAGTTTTCATGGCAACAAATAACAACCTAAGCTGCACCTATACCGTTGGAACACTGCATCCCCTTATAGAAATTTCAACAGAGGGACTCCTGGCCTGACACAAGAGACAAGTAAGAAGGGTTGGATACCATATGTAAGAAGGTGGTAATTTAACCAGCAAATCAACTGAGATCTCAACTGAAACACTTCAAATGAAGTTGCAAATAAATTACTACTAAGTAGAAAGACAGTTCTCTTTCTTGTGGGCACAGTGGTGGAACCTTGTTTGCCATATCTCTTTAGAAGAAGAGATGCAGAAGGTGGGAGGAGGAATGAGGGAAAGAGAGGAGAGGGAGAAGAGAGGGGATAGGAGGAGGAGAAAGTGTGGCAGGGAAGAAAGGCAGAAGAAAAATGAAGAGGAGAGAGATAATGAGCAACAAAGAAGACGGGAGAGGAGAAAGGAAGAAAAAATGTAGTGGGAAGAAAAACAACAAAGAAAAGCAACTCAGAGGAGGCATGATGCCCATATATAAATATACGAGGGGAAGCCATAGGGAGGAGGGAGCAGGCCTGTTTTCTGTTGCCCTGGAGACTAGGATACAGAACAATGGCTTCAAACTACAAGAAAGTACATTCCACCTGAACATGAGGAAGAACTTCCTGACTGTGAGAGTTGTTCAGCAGTGGAATTCCCTGCCTCTGAGGCTCCTTCCTTGGAGGCTTTTAAACAGAAGCTGGATGGCCATCTGTTGAGTGTGCTTTGAATGTGATTTTCCTGCTTCTTGGCAGGGGCTTGGACTGGGTGGCCCATGAGGTCTCTTCCAACTCTATGATTCTATGATTCTAAGAACATCCTAACTGTGAGGGCTCTCAGCAGTGGAACTCTCTGTCCTAGAGTGTGGTGGAGGCTCCTTCCTTGGAGGCTTTTAAACAGAAGCTGGATGGCCATCTGTTGAGTGTGCTTTGAATGTGATTGTCCTGCTTCTTGGCAGGGGCTTGGACTGGATGGCCCACGAGGTCTCTTCTAACTCTATGATTCTGTGATTCTTGGGGGGAAATGAGAGAGGAGGGAGGAGGAGAAAATGTGGTGAGAAGAAAAGCAGGAAAAGAGGAGGAGAGAGAAGTAGAGGAAGATAGGAAAGGAGCAGCCGGCAAGAACGACTGCAAGGTAAAAAAAATGGGGGCAATCCAGTTTCTGCACTACAATCGCTTGTATTTATTCACACGCGTCCTCCGGTGTCCTCCCCATTCTGAGCTAGGAAGAACCAATCTTGCTTTAGAAAGAGGGTATGAAATACAGGAGAGGAAAAATGGCTCTCAAACAGTATGATGAGAAAATAGGACGTGCAGGGAAATGAAGAGGAGGGGAGCGAGCCGCTTGCTAAGGAGGGAAGAACTGCTGCGGCTCATCCGCCTCTCTAGGCGAGATGCCCGGCTCAGCAGGAGCGGCACTTGCGCTTCCGCCTCGGGAGACAGAAAGCGCCGCCTTTCCCGGAGATATCCCGGGAAGCCAAGGGAGGAAGGAAGGAAGGAGGAGGGGAGGAGGGAGGAAGAGAGGGAAGGAAAGAAGGAAGGAAGGGGGAGAGGGAAGGAGAGGTAAGGGAGGAAGGAAGGGAAAGAGTGAAGGAGGGAGGAGGGCAGGAAGGAAGGGAGGGAGTGAAAGAGGGAATGTAGAAAGGAAGGAAGGAAGGGGATCCAAGTGGGACGGGGCTGAAGGAAGAGCCGTGCCCAACTTTCCTGGGCAAGCGACAGGTTGGTGCTTTTTCTCTGCTCTTTGGCACTCTCTCGAAACAGGCTGCCCTGACATTCCCTCTGGAATACCCCGAAACCCCCGTCTTCTGCCTTCTCTCTTCATGGCCCATTTTGGCCAACCCCCCCCCCCACCGAGGACCATGAAGGAGGAGACCCAACAAAACAAAACCAAGCCAGAGGGACACCCCCCCCCCCAATTTCCTAGCAGCTCCTCTCGCTCCGAAGCCAGGCTCACAAGCGCGGCTTTCTCTCATCTGTCCTGTTTGGGATCCTTCCTTTCGCAGTCCCAAGCTCTCTATTCGTTTCTAAATTTCACGATGAGGATTATTTTTCTCCCTTCCAAAGCCCCAAGAAAAAACAAGGCATCGAGAGTAACAGCATCCAAGCGTTTTCCTCTCTCGCGTTTGGGAAAGCCCATCAATTTCTAGCCACCCAGAAAGGAGGGGCCTCTCTTTGGGGATTCTCTATCGCGGAAGACCCTAGAACAGGGGCTTCTGTGTGCGTGTCCCATCCTGGGAGACGCTAGAAAAGGGCCGATTAAGCTTGTTTTGACCGAGAGGGGTTCGCCATTTCCCAACTAGAGAGCGAAGTCTAACTTGAACTGAAAGGAGGATATTTGGGAAAGCCTGCCACGCCACGGCCCGGGCGACATGGAGGAACGAAAAACACACGTGGAAACAGAGCTTTGCGGCAACACACACACACTCTCTCTCTCACACACACACACACACAGCCTGAGCAAGCCTCTAATCCGATTTTCTCCGCCCATTTCTCTCGAGTCGCGGGATGCGTTCTGGCAGCCCTCCCAGCTCTCTCTCTCTCTTCTTCTCTCTCTCCCTCCAAACATCCCTCTCTTCGCGCTGCTTCTGGCGCTGAAACTGACCGACTTCCTAGAGAAACTGGCCAGGCACTTGCTGATCTGTGGCAAGAGAGATTCCTAACACGGCTCCCTTTTGAAAAACCGCGATCTGATCCATTTTCTCTCCCTGAAACAGTTTCCACTTCCCATGACTGCCCGCTTTGTTGGGTTGAGGATGCCCAGGAAGAGTGGCACAAGCACTTCAAGCCCTCGCATTCCGGCCACCTCTTCTGACCGAAGAGACCCCCTTCCCATCGTTTTCATGACCCAAAGGGGGGGGCAGATCATAAAGCCGAACAGCTCGTGACGTCAAGGGAAAGGACGACCCACTTTCCCCCCGAATTTCAGGCTTAGCTCTCCCACTCCCTTCACTCTTGCTTCCACTAAACTCAAATAATAATTTGGCTAAAACTGGAAGGATTCCTGAGAAATGTCTTGAAGGATCTGTGCGCCTTCCTGAAGGCCTCCCTCCCTCTCTCTCTCTCTCTCTCTCGAGAGAGAGAGAGAGAGAGGAAACCCGAGGGAAAGAAGGGGGAGTTGGTTAGGGAAGAGGTGGCAGAGGAGAGGAGAGTCCTACAATGGGAAGGGAAAACCGAGACGAAGGGGGTCCAGAAGGAATAACGAAATCAAATCTGCGTCTTTTCGCCTTGGAGCAGTGTCTCCACACACACAATGATCACAAAGGGATGTAATCCGAAGGAGAAGCGTCAAGCGGCCCGTTAAGTCTTATATAAGATTCCTCAATATTACCCCCTGCCTCGGAGCCCCCGCTGGCGCAACGGGTTAAACCCTTCTGCCAGCAGGACTGCTGACTGACAGGTCAGCGGTTGGAATCCGGGGAGAACGGGTTGAGCTCCCTCTGTCAGCTCCAGCTCCCCATGCGGGGACATGAGAGAAGCCTCCCACAAGGATTGTAAAAACATCAAATATCCGGGCGTCCCCTGGGCAACATCATTGCAGACAACCAATTCTCTCATACCAAAAGCGACATGCAGTTTCTCAAAAGAAAACCCGCCTCCTGCGAGGGTCTGATTCTCCATTCACACGTGCATCCTTGCCAAGAAACACACGTCCACGAAACACCACGCGACGCCTCTACTCCCAAGGAGCCCCACTTCCGCTCCACAGACCTGCTAAGACCCGGGAGGGAGGGGAGGAGGGAGAGAAGGGGCGACCACCTGCTGCTGTTCCTACTACCGGAGACTGTTCCTACCTGGAAGAGGCGTAGGATGTTGGCCACCATGATGGAGACGGAGCTTCCGGCGGCGCCGACCACGCCGAGCACCTTCTCGGGCCGGACGAAGACGGGCGGCTCTCCGTTGGTGCAGCGCACGTCGGAGGTGTCCTTCTGGATGAGGGCCTGGACGAAGGTGAGCGACTGCTCCAGCGCGTAGGTGTCCCGCGAGCAGGTGTCCAGGATGCGCGCGCCCAGCGTCACGTTGGGCAGCAGCTCCGGGTCGCTGTTGATCTGGTCCAGCGCGTAGAGCATGGCCTCCAGGCGGTGGATGCCGGCCTCGCGCTTGATGTCCCCGCAGGGCCCACCGGGGCCGCCCCCCTCCGCGCCCCCAACCCCCCCGGGCACCCCCGGCCCGCCCAGACCCTTGGCGTGGACCGGGAAGAGGCCGCCCAGCGTGATGTCGCCCTCCAGGCGGATGGAGTGGGGCGCGTAGGTCTCCTGGCCCCGGGCCCAAGGGCCCCGCGCACACAGCAGCGCCCACAGCCACAACAGCGCCCCTCCAGACGGGCCCCAGCGCCCCCCACCGAGCATGGCCAATCCCAGGCAGGGGTGCGAGGAAGGGTCCTTGCCTGCGCTCTCCAAGAGGAGGATTCCCTCGAGGGGAGGGAGGGGGAGCAGAAGAGGAGCAGCAGGAGGGAGACCCAGCCGCTCTCCGGAGCCCTGCCGTCGGAGCGCTCCCCTCCACGCCGCCGCTCACTCAGCACTGCGCGGACAGAGGCTGGGCTGTCGCTTTAAATGCTCGCCCGGCTCCTCTCCGCCCCCCGCCCTCCCTCCCTCTCTCGCTCTCTCGCTCTCTGGCTGCTGCCTCTCCTTCTACCCTCCTCCTCCTTCGCTGCTCCTCCTCCTCCTCCTCCTTCCTCCAGCTGCCTGCTCTCTCTCTCCTTGCGCGGCGTCGTTACGCAGAGAGGCGGACCGAGAGAGCCGCCGCCCGAGCCGGGAAGCTCAGCCGAAGAAGGTAGCGCCTCCAGGATCAGCACCCTGGACAACGCCTGCCTCCTTCGCGGCGCCGACCGCGCCCCGCTCTCTCTCCGCCTCTGTGTCTTGACGCTCGGGGAAGGCAGCGCCTCCAGGATCAGCACCCTGGACAGCTCCTGCCTCCTTCCCGGCTCCCTCCGCGTCTGCTTCCCTCAAGCCGCTCTCTCTTCCCTCTCTCCGCCTCTGAATCTCGACAGAGAATGTTTCCGCTCCCCAAACATCTTAATCCACCTGTTATCCGCAGCTCCAACACTGGATCCCCATCGCTCCCCTCGCGGGGGACCCGGAATTTCAGTCCGTTAGTCTGAATGGGGACCAGCCTGTTGCCCAAATGTGCAACTAAAACTCTTGTTGACCCGATACTGCAGTGATTCGGGGGAGTTCTTCCCTTCCCAGTTCAGAAGTTCGTTGGCACAGAAGCTACGATTTTGCCCAGGGCCCAAGTGGGAATCGGAAGATTCTGAGGCTCTTAGGAATGGTGGGAGCTGAAGTCCAAAACGATTTAGGCCCAAGTTGGACCATGCCTAAGCTATCACGATCTACTAATTTGCATAAGGTTTCTGATTGGCTGGCCTCGACATTCTAAAATTCTTAAGTGGCTGAGTGGGGAAGGGAAAGGGTCCGAGGCTGTTATGAATGGTGGGAGTTGAAGTCCAAAACACCTGGAGTGTGGAAGTTTGCCCATGCTTGATCTATCTGGTCTATCTATCTCAGCCACAGGAGTGGCTGTAAATAATGTGTTCTCCCCCTGTGATTACGTGGGGCAAGAAAGGCCTGCAAACCCTTGAAGGAATAGTTATGAGTTGTTCCAGAAAATGGCATGACTGGAGGTTTGTGAAGTCCCAGTTGCCTTAACTCTCCCTCCCCCCCATGCTGCCATATAAAATCCAGATTATCTGCTTTGAACTTGATTATATGGCAGTTGAGACTCATATCATCCAGTTCAAAGTAGATAATGTGGATTATTTGCTTTGATAATCTGGATTATATGGCAGTGTAGAAGGGCTTCTGGGAACTGGACCTAAATACTTAAGAGGGCCACAGGCTGTGCACCTCTGCCTTAGACTCTCTGGAGCCTCTCCTTAGTATTGCAATTCCCAGAGACAGAACTGATACAAACAGTGGAAGGCTACAAAACCTCTGCAAGCTCACAGGACCAGCTCTGCTATATTGCTGCCTAGAGCAGAAAGGAATAAAAGACAAGCACATTATGCAGAATGAAAACCCCATAAATGTCTCCTTGTTTCCCTGTCCAAAAAACTGCAATAGTAAGAAAAATATATGTAACCCAAGTCTGATGGTAGTGTTTTCCCCTCCTTATAGCAGAGCTTGCTTTGCTTTGCCTATAATGCAAGTTCTTGTTCATTTCTGAATTTCTGCTTAAACCTCTTGCCTTTGGGATTTACTGCTTTCAAAAGCTCGGACACTGCCCTGAGTCCTAAAATTGGGCAAAATCAAGATGGAAATCATCTCATCATCATCATCATCCAAAGTGGTGCCCATATCATTATTTGGCAGTATTAGTGATTCAGTGTAGCAAGTATGACATCATCTGATAAGGAACATGCTATATACTGAGCTAGACCAATATTCAGTTCGGTATTGTCTGCTCTGACTAGCAATAGATCTCCAGGGTTTCAGATGGGATTCTTTTCTATCCTTGCCTGGAAAATTCTATAGTGATTTCCCATCCAGGCATTAACCAAACAGAGAACCTGCTGGGATCAGGTATATTGGGGTGGGGTGGGGGGACAGGAAGATAGGTGTTGTCAAAGGCTTTCATGGCTGGAATCACTGAGTTACTGTACATTTTCCTGGCTGTGTGGCCATGTTCCAGAAACATTATTCTGGAACATGGCCATAGAGCCCATAAAACTCACAGCAACCCATAGATCAGTATGTTGCCACCATTCTGACAAAATCAGGATGTTTTCCATTGGAAAGACACTGGAAATTCTCCAAGGTCTGGAAATAACTGACAATAAAACAATTTTAAATTTGTGGGTTTTTTTCCCATTTTACTTGCATTCCCACTTGCTGATTGTTTTTTTCCCTTCTAGATATCAGGGTGAGATGCACTTCATTCTAACATACAAACAGTCCTTTGGACACAAAGCAGAAGATACCCCACAGTTTAAAATATGGTTGAGACCCAGGTTTGGGAGATTACACATTCATAATATACATTATTAATGTCTGATTTAATCTGCCCCCCCCCACCCCGAACTCACTTTTTCTCTGTATCCTCCCTCACCCAAGAAAACAACAACATAGAAATTTCCTAGATAGAGAGGGGAAGAGAAGTGACCAGCTGATTGTATTGTTGATGTTTAGTAAAGAATACGCAACTCTCTCTCTCTTTCCTTCTATATAGTGAGATGCATAGCGGCACTTGAAGGGGGGAGCAGTACAGCAAAGTAAACCAGAGAAAGATGGGTTGGAGTGGGATTTTAGTTGTTATACAGTTCATACAGAATTTTGATTTCCACAACAACAACAACAAATAAGTTACAGTGGCATAAACTGTTGGCATAAACTGTACTTAGGTCATTGTAACTTAAAATCAAGTTGCTGGCCAATGTGTTTTTATTCTAGGCAGCAGAGATAAATGCAACATCATCTGAAAACTGTTCTTCTTCCTCCCAACCCCCTTTAGGGCCTTTCAATGCAAGGAGGGAGGAAAGGTTGAACAGCAGGGCTCACCATGGGGCTTCAGTATATTGTTCAACTATCCTGTACTTCTTTCATCCTGCAGGAACAGCATATCTCCCTTAAGAGATGGACTTCATATTTTGCAAGTAATATCTTCTTTAAAAAAAACCTTTAGTTTTATTATGTGAATCAATAAAACATATTGGTTTACAAGACATCCAAATATTGTCAAAATTGGATGAAGGGGAATTCTGAAACTCATATATCATGCATGAGCTCAAAATCCCTGATATATATATATATATATATATATATATATATATATATATATATATATATATAACATGGAATCTTTTCAGTCCAAGGAGAAGTGTTCCTCATCATGTTATATAATAAAGAGCATATCCTTTATTCAATTCCATGCATATGTTGTTGGTTTTCAGAAGCCATAGGCATGAAAACAGCAAGCGTGATCCAGTGCATAACTCACATTCTCCAATGTAGAGACACACATCCAGGTAGATGTGGTAGAAATTCAGAGTTAACATATACTAAAATTCTGTGAATGATTCAGTGCCTTTTATCGATCATTTAACATTCAGAATAAAGCCAAGAGTGGATTCACCATCCCATTTAAATGGAAGCTGTCCTCTGTATCCATGGATTCTGTATCCATGGCTTCTATCTTCAATAGCTTGAAATTGCTCCAAAAACATTCCAAAAAGCACAGTTTGATTCTGCTATTTTTTAAATAAGGGATACAATTTTACTGCAGCAGCATTGTATATAATATGATGTGAGAATCCTTGGATTTGGGTATCCATGGGATGGTCCTAGAATGACACTTCCAGCAGACACCAAGGATGTGCTGTATTATCAGAGTGGCAGCAGACCTCTGAAGTCTCAGATGTCTTTCTGGGCATTGTAACTGGAGGCAAGATTTGAGGGAAGGGTGTTCCCCATCATCTCCTGTGCTAGTTCCTTTTCTCAGGCTGGCCCCACATTTCCAGCCCTGCTGACCACCTTGCCTTTGTTTCCCCTCTTAACCCCTTACTGAATGAGGCTCCTGGGTTGGCAGGACTCTATATAAGACTGGATAGAAATAGTCAGAGGCAGTTTTAAAAAAGAATATGAAAATGTCAGTTTATTAAAATTCAGTAATATATTACAGGACTTATTGAACAACGTGTTCTGCCATTGCTCCCAAGAATTGAGGCAGTTCTTCTCTTTGAAATCCAAAAACTTCTTTGTCTCCCAAAATTAGCCTCTGTTTTTATTACATTTTCTTCACCTGCAGCTCCCATTTGCAGGACTCTCTGAGCTGCAATTTGCTGCCATCCAGGTCTGTCCAGTGCCTTCTTCACATTTCCATTGAACAGGGTTCTGGGCTTCTATTTCAGTAGAGAAGTATGTCTACTTGATTTTTAGTTGAAAGGAACTTTTCATGGTGCTAGATCTATTTTGGGGTTATGCTTCAGAGTTTTCACACTGAACATGTTAAAGACTAAACCTAGAAAGTTGTGCACTTGAAACAGATGCTCTGCTGCTGGATTACAGTATTTTTCCTGTTCAAGAAAGGCATGTACCACACATGGGTAGGGGATTATCTTATTAGCTCATTGTATTGTTGGAGTTTAGTAGAGAATACACAGCTCTCCTTGAAAAAGCTCCATTAGTCTATTACTGGAGACAGTTTATACTGTAGATTATGGCCTTTCATGCCCTTTACCAAACTGGGGGTGGGGTGGGGGGAATAGTCAATACTCCAGCAGACAGGAGGAGAATTCAAAAATATCTTAACAGATTAGCACAATGAAGTTAAACACTGACAAATGCAAGTCAGAAAAAATGTAATGCAAAGATACAGTCTGGTCGATGCCTGGCTCAACAGCAGTACATGGGGAAAAGTTCTTGAAGTCCTCATGGACAACAAAGTAAGCATGAGCCAACAATGTCATGTATAAAGACTTAAAGGCTACCTGGGCAGGGGGGAAACAATCAAAGAAATCCCACCACTGCAAACCAATTATAATAACTCAACAAGGCTTCTCTGGACAGGGGGGTCAAGAAATCCCACCACTGTCCTTCCTTCAATAAGGACTACCTGGCAAGGTAAGGGATCTTTACATCATGCAGCAGATTA